CCCCCCCCCCCCCCCCCCCCCCGGCGGGGGCGGGAGCCAAACCTTCCCAGCACTCACAACATCTCTGCAGAGGAGCTCAGAGCTCCCGAAAGGTGAAGCCAATGACATTCAAGGAATGCAAGAAGGAAGAGAAAGCGGACAGGGAGTTTCAAAAGAAGTTCAAGGTGAGCAGAAAGGAGCGGTCGCTTTTCCCTCTGATCTCCCCCCTCGCTGTGCAGGAGGACGCCGTGCAGAGGGGCTGCGTGGGCCAGGAGCAGGCGGTGCCCAGCAGGCCACCCCACTGAGGCTCCCCCAGGACGGACCGACCCACGGCGCTGCGCTTCGGAGACGTGCGCTGTTTCCATCGAGGAAGCGGTTGGAGCTCAGGCAGCCTTTCTCTGCTCGTGTTTCAGTTCGAAGGGAACATCGCCGTCCTGACGCAGATGATGGTCGACCCTGCGACGACGGAGAAGAGGGGCGGGGGGAAGAACCTTCCGCTCCGACGGGGTGAGATCCTGGACGTCATTCAGTTCACCAACAAGGAGCAGATCCTTTGCAGGAACAGCCAGCGGAGGTGTAAGTCGGCCGCTGCCCCACGCTCAGCATTGCTCCCGAGGGATCCCAGCTCCCCTCCTGGAGCTGCTCCGCTCCCTTCCAGCCCCCCTGGGGGTGCGCAGCCCACACACGCTTCTCTCCACTCTGTTGCAGACGGTTACGTGCCCCGGGCTGTGATGCTGCACCTGTGAGTATCCCTTCCCCAGCCCTTCCTCCCAGCATCAATTCCCCCCGGCCCAAACCCCCCCAACTGGTGGCTGCAGGGAGATGTGCCCCACCTCTGCGGGGGGGGGGCACCAGGGGCAGAGATGGAGCAGAGCAGTAGCAGAGCTGCCCCATCATAGTGCAAGCTGTGGGAGCCCGGACCACTCACAGCTTTTCCCCCACAGGGACAGAGACATCTACGACGACGTTGATCTGTACGGTAGGTGTGAGTAAAGCACTGCTGGTGCCACGTGCCTCAAGCAGAGCCTTCCATGTCCTCTGAGACACCCACTGTGCCCTGCCGAGCGCTCTGCAGCCCAAATGGGGATGGCTGCATCACTGCAGCACCGATGAGCGAACATCTGTTCCCACCGACAGAATGACCTGGAGCACCACCAGACCCCAAAGGCTGAAGCTCCGATGCTGGAGGGGCTGCGAGGGTCGGGCCTGCAGAGCAGAGGTTTGGGAAGGTCCTTCGGACGGAGCCCTGCGGTGCTTTGTTTGATTTGTGTGAAATGTGGCACTGATCTGTGTGGTCCATCTGTGGTTTTTGGTTGGTTTTCTTTTGGGGGGGAGTTTTGCCCCAACGAAGCACTTCCACCGGTGCAGATGTGGGGTGGGATGGGGTTGTGCTCAGCGCCCAAATGCCGCCTCCACATCTGGAAACAGATCTGAATTCTTCTGGATCAGGAACTGTGCTGGGAACGGAGCTCCATCTGTGTTCCTGGCGCGTGCGGCCCCATGGGAAGGGTTAAAAACCCCACTGCACTCACCCACAGAAAGCCAAGCCCAGATTAACCGCTGCAGGACGTCACTTTCCATTATGGGAAGGGCTCCCAGGGCAGCTCTGGGGCCGGGATTACGGCTGGCACAGCCAGCGCTGCGATGTGCGGGGCGAGGAGCTGCTGCTGAGCGGGGCCATGTGGGAGCGCGTCTGCACGGCGCTGCTGGGCTCGCTGTCCATGGGCTCCGCGTCCCTCTGGGCGCAGATTCGGGCCTTCTGGCACAAGAACGGCCTCCTGACCCTGTCCATGCTGTCGGTGGCCACCGGCTGCCTGCTGGGCTTCCTGCTGCGGGCACTGGAGCTGACGGAGCTGGTAAGGATGGGGTGGGAGCAAAGGGAGCACGGAAGGGCTCAGCCCTGAATGCGCAGGCTGCTGTCTGAGAGAACAGCCTCTCACAGGTGGGTTTTCTTCATCTTTTGGCCTCAGAGCGGCTGGACAAATCCTGCATCCCTCTGTTGGGGACCCAGCTGCGCTGCAGGGGGGTTGGGGGGAGGGCAGCTGCTGCCCTGTGCCCCAGGCTGGGCGCTCACTGCTCCGGGCCAAACGTGGCACAGCAGTGCCTGTATCCCACAGCCCAGCTCCTCTACTGCTGCTGCAGATGCTCAGCATCCAGGCGAGTCCCAGCACAAAGCACAGCAGATTCCCAGGGGTCCCCTCCTGTTCCCAAAGGGCCATTAAATGTCATCATGCTAAAATCGCAGCGGTTTTAACTCAGCCCCGATCTGTGGGATGCTCAGCTGCTGCTGGCACATCCCCACGTAACCTGTGGGGATTTGGCATTTGTCACTTCAATTACACCCTGTAGCATTACTGCCTGCAGCGAGGATGATCTGACTTAACCGAAGCGGGGTGTAATCCCACTGCACCCCAATGCACGTGGCCGTGAGAGTGGCAGCATCCCGCTGCCCCTGGTCCTGCCCCTACCCCACAGTGGCAGACAAATCCACATGGCACTGGGGAAGGTTGGGCAGGGGATGGATGGAGGGATGGAGAGATGGAGGGAGGAAGGGAGGAATGGAGGGAGGGAGGAAGGGAGGGATGGAAGGAGCCTCCGGAAGGACACGGATGGATGGAGGGGCAGACAGATGGAGGATGGGTGCGTGGGTAGAGGGATGGAAGGACGGGCAGTTGGTGGGGGCCAGGAGGAGGGGGGCAGGTGGGCACACAGAGGGGTGGGGGCATTTCTGCACTCTGCTCCCAGGGAAAAGTGCAGCAACATCTGGAGCGACCAAAGTGTGGCCGTGGGGCCATAGGGAGATGGACCTTTGGGATGGGAACTGACTCAACACCCCTCCTCAGCTCCAGGATGGATTTCCCCATAGGGTGGGATTTCTTCTCCCCAGCAGCTCTGGGGGTCTCCTAGGATGGGCAGGGAAACCACATTATCGCATCTGGGAACTGAGCTCATGTCTGGATCCCACTGGGAAAAAGAGGAAATCTGCCCAGTTTGAGCCCTTCGCCCACAATCAGTGCCCACCTCCCCACTTCCACCCTTCCCAACGCTCTGCTCCCTGCAGGAGAAGCAGTACTTCTCCTTTCCTGGAGAGCTGCTCATGAGGATGCTGAAGATGCTGATCCTGCCACTGATCACCTCCAGGTGAGATATCGCTGTCTGCATCTGAAGGGCCATGAGACGGGGCACGCAGCTGCCCGAGTGCGGGTGCCAGGCCCTGAGATCAGGGCAGGGGAGCAGAGCTGGGGCTCGCTTGGGGTTCTTTCCCTCTTAAAACTGCGGCACATGGGGGCTCCAATCAGGATCCCCAACGCCGACCCCATGCGGTTTGGGAGCGGGTGCTGAGTTTGGTGTTTCCTGACACAGCCTGATGTCCGGGCTGGCCACCATGGAGCCCAGGGCCTGTGGGAAGATGGGGGTGATCACTATCACCTATTACCTTTGGACCACTTTCATGGCGGTGACGATGGGGATCATCCTGGTAGTCAGCATCCACCCTGGCGCGGCCGCTCAGAAGGAGGATTTCTCTGCAGGGAAGGTGGTGCTCAGCTCCGCCGATGCGCTGCTGGATTTGATCAGGTGCGTCGTGGGGTCTGGGAGCAGCGTGGGGGCTGCGGGCCACGACTTCAGGGAACAAGGCAGCACATCAGTCCTCCTCCCAGCCTCCTGCCCCACAGAGCCGTGTCCGGTTTCCCTCCAGTTTTAACCTCTACGCTGTTGCTCTCTTCCAGGAACATGTTCCCTTCCAACTTGGTGGAAGCATCCTTCCAGCAGGTGAGCAACCAGCCCTTGGCCTCCCTGCTCTGCAATACAACAGTTGGGCCCTGCTGTTGTGCGGTGGCTTCCCAGTCGCAGTCCTAGCCCCCAGTCCCTATCCCAGCCCAGCCCCAGCCCCATCGCCAGCCCCAGTCCCAGCCCATTCCTGGTCCCACCACCATCCCCATCCAATCCCCATCCCACCACCATCCCCATCCAATCCCATCCCATCCCATCCCATCCCATCCCATCCCATCCCATCCCATCCCATCCCCATCCCCATCCCCATCCCATCCCTGTCTGTAACCCATTCCCATCCCATCCCCATCCTGTCCCCAAACTCACCCGCATTTCCCTCCCATCCCCACCCCAGTCCCAGAGGAGGTCGGGGAGCAGGGCAGAGGGGTGTGAGCAGGAGAATGAGAGTGATGAGGTTTGGGCTGAAGGAGACGGGGCAGAGATGGGCAGGGTGCAGGGAGAACAGCAAGCTCATGGCACTGGGAGTCTGTGGGGTGCCAGGACGGGGCTGGAGGGGCCCCTCTGTAGGGATCACAACATTTTCTCATCCCACAATGGGGATGCTCGGGGATGAGCACAGATCCGCCTCAAATGCCAGCTGCTGTTTCCTTGCCCTGGTTCTCACTTCACAGCAGGGCCGCTAACTGGCGCCTGCTGCCCACAGGACAGTAACTTCTGCTTTGTTTCTGTCCCAGTATCGAACTGTTATTGTCCCAGTGGTGAAGTCTCCACGATTCCCAACAATCCCAGGGAAATCCCTCAGTTTTATTTACTTTGCACCGGACGAGGAAAACCCTGAAATCCAGCGACCCGTGTTTCTTGAGCTAACGCCATCTCCCGAAATGACGTACAGGACCCTGCCAGGGACCAGCAACGAGATGAACGTCCTCGGGATCGTCATCTTCTCTGCGACCATAGGTACCTGCAGGAGGAGAGGAGGGAGCGAGGGGGGGAAGGAGTGGGAGGCGACGGGATCAGCGTGGGGCGGATTATGGGGAGAGGTGAGGGCGAGGAGCTTGAGCTCAGCGTATCAGGAACCAAAGAGCCAATCCGAGGATTTGGGGCGGGGGGAGCGTGTTGAGGGCAGCACTGGGGGCAGCGGTGGAGCTGTCAGCAAAAAGCCAGTCCGTCCCTCTCTAGATTCCTCCATCCACAGCCCAAGGGCGCTGCGCGCTGGGTGCTGCTCAGTAGCACAGGTCCATGCGTTGGGCTGCAGGGCTCCTCCTGGGAAAGATGGGTGAGCGAGGAGCGCCGCTGGTCAACGTGTGCCAGTGTCTGAACGAAGCTGTGATGAAAATCGTCTCCATGGCTGTCTGGTGAGTCGGGTCGTCATCGGTTCTGCTCCTTCCCCACCCGCTCACTGGTGCTGATGCCAGTCCTGCAGTATCTGTTGTGAGCAATGGACTCAGTGCAGCACAGCCGTCTCAAATGCTGTCATTGCTGCACTGCTTAGTCTTTGTGAACGCTTGCCCTCATTCTTGGTAGGTACTTCCCTTTCGGCATCGTGTTTCTCATTGCTGGGAAGATCCTGGAGATGGAAGACCCATCGGTTACAGGCCAGAAGCTGGGGCTGTATGCCGTCACCGTGGTGTCGGGGCTGGCCATCCATGGACTTGTGTTCTTACCGCTGCTCTTTGCACTCATCACCAAGAAAAACCCCTATGCTTTCATTAGGGGGATACTGCAAGCTTTGCTGATTGCCTTAGCTACATCTTCCAGGTATGAAAACGTGGCTGAAAAATGTGGGTACAGCTAGGAGAGGATGCGGGTAGCTTGTGGGTGATGCAGAGGCACATAGGGCATGGCAGAAGAGAAGCACTGCAGACATCAAGAAAGATAAAACATTAAAGGAGATCCCTCCCAGCAGCAGTGGGAAGTGGGATCTCAGCGCTGCCCTGGTCACGGCACCTTCACACCCTGTTCCAGCAGCCCCTGCATTACAGCTCCTGGTCTTGCGATGGGCAGAAGGAAGAGTGGCCATTCCCTGCGGGACCCAGCAGGGCTGGGGGCTCTGGGTTGTCCCATCAGCACCGCAGCCTTACTGCTGGCCAACAGTGTGCTCTGTGTCCTCCAGGTGCTGTAAGCCGACGAGAAACAGCTTCTGTTGGTACAGCAATCCGTACAACATGACTGCTTAATTTTCTACTGGACTTTTATTTCTACAGCGCTTGCCCAGTAATTCCACAGGCAGCACTGGTGACGCTGTGGCAAACCATGACTTAACGCTCCTTGCTCTGCAGCTCAGCGACCTTGCCCATCACCCTTAAGTGTCTTCTGGAAAACAACGGCATAGACCGGCGCGTGGCACGCTTTGTCCTTCCTGTCGGTGCCACCATCAACATGGACGGCACGGCGCTGTACGAGGCAGTCGCTGCCATCTTCATCGCCCAGGTCAACGAGTACGACTTGGATTTGGGGCAGATCGTGACGATAAGGTACCCGTGTGCAGCAGCAGGCAGGGAGGTGCGGGCAGTGCATCCCATCCCACTCTCCACCGGCAGATGCGCCCATGGTTGGGCTGTCTGCAGTGCTGGAACCTTCCAGAGCTCACCCTGGTCCATAGAGAACTTCCACACCACCTTTTGAGGACGCTAATCCCGCAGCCCTTCTCTCCACAGCATAACAGCAACTGCAGCCAGCATCGGGGCGGCCGGGATCCCACAGTCAGGACTCGTCACGATGGTCATCGTGCTGACCTCGGTGGGGCTGCCCACTGCTGACATCACGCTCATCATTGCAGTGGACTGGGCCCTGTAAGTCCTTTCTGGGCACACGGTGTGTGTGTCACACCACATGGTAGTGGGGACACACTGGGACTTCCCTCCAGTAGAGGAAATGGGGACTGACCTCAGAACAAGGCCAGAAGCCAAGCGTCAGCTCGTTCCTTTTCCTATTCTTTTCCCAAAATGATAACAATCAGCAAAAACTTCTTACCTGATTGGTCCTGATTGGAGTGCTCACCACTATCACTGTTGCACGCCACATCTTTGCCAGAGATCACAAACAAGTTAAGAAAAAAAATCATGCGTGTGCAAGAGATAGATAGCAAGGATATGGGGATGCCACCAAAGAGGTGGAAAAATGCCACTGCTTAGGAGAAAAGCATGAGGTGCTGAATAAAACCATGCAGCAGGAAATGGGCACATCCAATAGGCAGCATCCACCTTCCAAGCTGCATGCCATCGGAAGGGAAACGATACTGGCCTTCCTACACAGACAGATGGTGCTTTCCAAGGACCATCTCCAACCTGCGGGGCAGCCTTGTGCTGGCGGGTGAGGAGCAGGATGATCTCAGGACAAGAAGTTTGGGAGCTCCGAACCCCTCTGCGTTCACTCGCTGTTATCCTGGCAGCAGCAGGGACAGCAGGGCTGCATGCCATGCGCTGCAATGCCATGTGGGACCGCTGGCTGCAGCCTCAGTGCTTCTCTCTTCCAGGGACCGATTTCGGACCATGACCAATGTCCTCGGGGATGCGCTGGCTGCTGGCATCATACAACATGTCTGTGAGAAAGACTTTGCCCCAAAGCCCCCAAAGGTACGCCTGGTTGGTTACTCTGGGAGCACGGGGCACTCTGAGGCCACGCAGACACAAAGAACGTGGGTGGTTAAGAAACTGAAACAGCACCTTTATCTTTTCTCACAGCAAGACACAGCGAGCGACACAGACAAGTTTCCTTCTGCAGAGCCCCCACTTCTGCATCCCAAAGACAACGTGATCCATCTGCTTGAGGACAGTCTGTTTGAGCAGATGGGAGGGCACTACAACATCTGCCAGGTGTAGGTTGCAGCTCTGCCACCCCAGGACGGGACCTCGGTGCTAAGCATTCCCAATGCCACACACGGCTGCTCCACAAGACAAAGGCCTTATCTGGGGCAGCAAACCCCTCTCCATCCTTTCTACCCTGCTGCCTGGAGCTGAGGACATGACCACACTGGCAGCCCTGCCCACAGCAGCTGGGTTATGGCACAGCCCTGTCCCCTTCCATGAGGCTGCTCAGAGCACTGGGGAACAGCTACGAGGTGATGGCAGAGAGCAGCAGAGGTGGAACTGAAGCTGTCATCTTATGGCAGCAGCCTCTACCTGCTGCCCAGACTGCATGCCATAAGGTGTTAACAGTTATTTTTTAACCTTTTTATATACACTAACACATACCAATATATATTACATATTAACATGTATATATACACACGCATATCTTTTAGGTTCTCAACTGAAAAACAAAGTGTATCTTTTGCCCAGAGCCCAAAGCCAAGGCTGAGCAGAACAGGATGCTGCAGCAGTGCTCAGCACGCTGCATTAGTTTATCAGCATTACCCCACTGCAGCTGTGCTCCTAAGTTCAAATTCCCATTCCAATGAAAGCCTTAAGACACTGCTCCCAAGGGCAGCCTTCTCCACAGAAATCTTTTGTACATGCTGTGTGTGTTGCTGGATGCATTTACCTCTTCCAACGCCACCACATCCCCCTCCTGCCCCAGGTTGTCATTACTGCCACAGCACAAGGCTGACAGAAGCAGCTTAAATTCACACCAACATCACTGAATTTCTCTAAAAGGTGACACAAACCACAAGGAAATGAACTGAGTTATTCCTATTACTCAGATGCAGGCAGACAAGATCAGCTAATAAGCTGATGAGGACTGGGATAAGTCCAGCAGCACCAGCAGAGTAAAGCATCCATCCCAAAACGTCAGCACGGTGTTCTGCACTCAGAGTAACATGAGAGCACCAGAAGTTGAGGAACAGGAGGTTTCCAAAAGCCATGAAAGCCACTAAGAATGGGCCCAAAGTCACTGAGCAGCACCAGGAGCAGCACTGTCCCCCTCCGGGACTGTGGGTGCAACACGTGGGAATGGGGTGAACTGAAAGATTCTGCTCAGCACACTGAAAACTACTCCAGCCTCAAAGACAGTGTGCACCATATCTTAATGAAGCTGGGAGAGCAACTGGGCAAAGGCAAGGGTTGTTATCTGAACATTATTCTTGCTGAGAAGAATCACCAGAAGCTGCTTCTACGCAATAAAACCCCCATGGAAGCTACTTATGGCTTCTGTGACTATTAACCCAAGGTAGCAGAAGCCCTTGGCTTTGTGGTATCTCCCAAAATTCAGGTAGAAAACCCAACCATTGGCCAAATGAGCCTCGTTTGGGAAACGGAATGCCACCAGCAGGTTTGGTGAAGGGGAGGAGGTGACCTAAGGACGACCCACCAAGGATTCTATGATTCTATGACCAGCACTCAGCTCATGCACCTCTTGTTCATCACCGGTGTAAACGCACAGCTGATGGCAGTGGCTATGTTAAAAAGCAGCATTTTGGAGCTGAGGATCTGCTCCATGGTGTTTTGTATTGGTTGCATGCCGAGAAGCATTGCTCCTTTTGTGCGTGGAGATCGCGGGCGCTTGTTGGGACGTTTGTAGACATCCATCACAAGATGTTCTCAGGGAGCTTAGCTGATCCCTCAATTATCTTACACGCTGAAAGGAGCAGAAAAGATGCTCCTTGGAGCTCTGGGTGCAGGTGGTGGATTACAGCCATGTTCTGCTGCATGCAGCGAGGACAGTGGTCGGCGTTCGCCGCTCTCAGGCTGTGGTTGCATCAGAGAAAATGAGAAGCTCTACAGGGAAACGAAATAAGGAAGTAAATGAAAAGAGGGGAAGAGGCAAAGGCAGACGGGTCCCGCCCCACTCTCACCACACACTCACTCCTGAAAGGAGCAGCTCAGATGCGCTGCTAATTGAGCGTGGGTCACCCTGACGTTAGGGCAGATGGGAAAGAAAACACAGGGCTGGAACAGGGCTCCCAGCCCAACCTCGCTGCTCCACTTACCTGCGGCCAGCGCACCTCAGAACCTGCTCCCACTGTCCTTCCACGTGCAGAACCACAACCATGTGGTTATTTGGCCATTCCCCCTCCTCCTCTTGGTCTCCAGAAATCTGCAGTTGTCTGCAAAGCATTACCCCAAACCACGTTCTGGTGCAAGATTGTTAACAGCAACACGATGCTCCCGTGTTTCAAGAACACTGCCTTGTCTTTGGGTGTTCTAAGTCCGTTTCCATCTCTCTTTCTAAAGCCACTTCCCAGCTGCAGGTATTTGCTGTGACAGACCAAACACTGCTGGCACTTCCATCCTCGAAGTGTCCAGTGATCCAGGCACAATTCCTCCCCCTCTGCTCCCAGCAGCAATCCAATGCCAATCCTCATCTTTGACTGTGAGTCTCTCCTGCCCGCATGGTGGCGATTCCTCCTCTTCTCCCATCCCATCACCTTCAGCACTAACAGCTGTTCTTCAAGAACGTGGGCACCCACATGTGGTTCCTACACACAGAGGCTTCAGTGGGAAATAAAACACTGACACAGACACTTTGTGCACAGCAATTCATTTGCTCATAACCAGTTACAAAAGCAGCTCTTATCTGCCTGTATTCCTTCAGACCTTTGCTTTTCCAGCCAGGTACAAGCAATCCACGCGTGGAGCTGTTAAAAATGTTTGTCCACATACAGACTGAACAATGTCGGGCTTTAAGACCCCTCTGAATTCAAACCACAGAATTTTTTGTAGCTGAGAATTTGTGCCATCAAATGGTGTTACGGCGTACAGTTGTAGTTTTCAAGGAAATAAACAGGAGGCATTACTTTCAGAGTGTCTTATGTATATGCATGGCACAATCCAACAAAACTCAGCCCCTGGCTCTGGTTGAAGCTGGTTTTTTTTTTTTGTCTCCATACTTTTTCCTTTTTTTTTTTTCAACAGCAGCTCAGTGCGTATTTCCAATGCACGGCACTGATACCGCTGTAGAAAATGGGACAGAGCACAGCAAGCCCAACCAGAACCGCCTCGTAGGAACAGATGGATGGAAGCCATCACTGCAAAGGAAATTCTCAGAACTTCAGTCCCATGATGAGCACCACAGGTCCTCAGCTGACTGCCACCATCCCTGCAGTGTGATGTCGAATTCCCTCTGCAGCTCTTTTCAGCTGAGGTTGAACATTCAGGCAGTTCTACAGAACGTCTCCTTCTGCAGCAATCCTCATTCCCACTGCAGTTTCATCTTCAGCTACAAAGCCACCCAACTGCACCGGTGGTTCGTGGTTTCTGGCCTCCCTTCCGTGCAGCCAGCACAACAAAGCCCTGAGGGTGACACAGAAGCAAGCTAATGCATCCAGGTTGTCAGGTCCCCACCAACATCCTCCCAGTGCTCCCACAATGGAGCACACGGCACGGCAGGCTGCAGATTGCCACATCCATCCTTCACACAAACAACTCCCCAGTCCCCAGCTTCCTACATCCCCTAACCAAAGCACACAGACACAGCACATAGACATGCACTGCATCATTTTTTATCTCATCTTCACTCCTGCATGCCTGTGGCACTGTGAAGCACAACTGTTTGATTCACCTTGTGGATTTTTGCTCCCTCAGCAATTTCCAGTTGGGTCAGCTTTAACAGAGGGGTTCTCCATCCACGTAATCACCGGTCAGAGCTGTGTATCCAATTCCTGAACATGCACACCTGTCTGTGAGCTCCTCTGGGTAACTGTGCAAGAACACCAACACTTCTCATCCTCCTGAGCACCTCTCCTGGCAGGGAGTTCAGAGCTATGGGATCTCCAAGCAACTTCTAGCTCAGGGTTTCATAGCACATGTGATATTTCAAAGCAAAGAAAAACTGAAGGTGTGTTCCTGGAAGGTAAGCAAACTGCTGTTTCCTCCCAGGTGAGAATCTCCTCCTTAGCTTCTCCCACTGCCATTTTTCTTACAGCACTTTCCACTTCCAGCACTTCTAATCATCAAAGAAATCCACCAAATTAATGATACTAATTGTGATAAACCCCTGTGACAACCTGTGACCTTTTCCTTTACCTCCACATTGTTAAATGTGCTATCCAACACTCGGGTAACATTTTTCCCTGCTGTCCCTCGCTGGGACCAAGGATGGAGCCATCACAGCTCAGCTCAGCATGCAGCCTTTGTTTCCTGGCTTCAGCCTATGGAAATGTTGCAGAGCAGAGACAAGATGGATGGGGTTAAAGTTACGTGTGCCACATCCCCTATTACCCATACACCTATCACTATTTCCTGCTCATTACTTACCACCCATACCTCACAGCACACAACTCTTTCCTGCTTTGCATCTGCAATCGTAGTCAGCTCCGTGCACTTACCCTTATTCTTATCACCTCTGCTTTTGCAAAATACACTACGTTCTCCCAGCATGTCATCCTGCAGCACCATCACCCCTCCCCATCTTCTGCATCTTTTGTGGCTAGCCTGCTCCCCAGCCAATCTCCCAGCCACCTACTGGCTACCCATGTCCTCTCATTTGAGCCGACGACACTTGGAACACTTTGAGGGTTTTATTAGGATAGGAACTGCTAAGAACCCTCTCATCACTCTTTAAAAAATAATGAAAAAATTGAAGCAGTATGACAACGTGGTGTTTAATGAGCTGCTGAGCTTCCACAGAGCCATGAGCACCAACAGCAGGAAGCCGCAGCTGCTGCAAGGAGCTTCTCCCTGGGCATCACCCCATCTTCCTCCTTCGGTTTCTGCAAGACAATGCTTAGGAAGGGGTGACACCCTCAGCGCTAAGCAAAGGCGAAATGGAGGAGCTCTCCCACTCACTCAGCTCCCTCCTGCGCAGCCCCCCAACCCAGCACCTTTCTTTTGCTGCACCAAAGCAGCTGCAGGACCGTCACTCAGCGGTGCTTTGCAGAAGGTGGGTTTCACAAACTTCAGCTGATGTCAGGCTGCCTAAATTTCATCACTTCAACCCAGCCTATCCTCTCCCTTTTCTTCCTTCCTTGGACATGGCCTTAAACAAATCAGCTTCACGCTGTTCCTTCCCCACAGACCAGAATGCACGCTCACAGAGGAACTGGGAGATTGGAGGGGGACAGCAGAGCTGCTCTGGCAAGCACAGTATTGATTACATGGACACCAAGAGCTGAACTCGGGCCCAATGTCCCTTCCCCATGGCCACCAGCAGCATCTGGGTGTCCATCCCAGAATCCAGGGATGGGGAGCAGGGCCAGCAAGGCACCCCAAAC